TGTCGTTTAAAATGGTGTTACGCTTAAAAGGTACGTTTCCGCCTCATTCACGATTCACAGCACTCCAATCGTCGGGTCAAGCTTAAAGGTTCTATTGCAGACGACATTCCGATACACAAATGGAGTTGTGTCATCGTATCTCCCCGAATTCCTTCCATATTAGCAAGCATAGCGTCGAATCGTTCGGTCCTTTATCTGTTGGTTCTCTTCGCAACCATTTGGTGATAATGAAGGTGCTCGAAATTGAGTCCACATCGTTTATAATTTCCACTCCATTTCACCGGGTCGCCTGTATCTGGCCCACCTGCCAGGTAAGTCGGATAGCATTTGTGCCCTATCATTTTGCAGACTCGACCATTTATTGGCCGAGATACAGAATCTCCCCTCAGCCTTATTTTCGGTCTCACATTAGCTTGTGTAGCTATGCCAAAATGTGGATGGACTCAATGACCAGGTTAGTCTGGATTTGATCAAGTTTGGACTCCCCATTCAACAGTCTGTCAAGCGCTCACATGCTCCATGCCTCAAACGGGGGGGCCCCCACTTTGGTCCTCGACCGGCTTTGTCACGTCTCAGAGCTCCGCCTCAGCACACGCCCCAGGCAAGCAGGTGAACCCGGTTGGCATGCTGAACCCACGATTTATCTGGCAGCGCTTCTGATTCGGTACGTGCCTGGGCGTCGTGACTTTATTTATTTGACTACCTCTCTCTTCACTCCTCTCTCCTCTCTCCTCTATCCTCATGACACTCCTAACTTTCTACAGACGACCGCTCCGACCCCCCCCACACAACCGTTGCCCGTCGAGACGGGTCATGTAGTATCATGTCGGTATCTTGCGGCTCAAGTCTCGACAACTGAGGCAACCGCACAATGTCAACACTTGAGTCGGACAAAGCTGCTCAACTCTGACAGATTCCAGACCCGAAGAAGGCATACATACCGAAGCGAAGGCGAAAGGGGGGAGAAGGCCCGAGTCCTTTCATGGTATTGTGACCTCGGCAACCGGTCCGCGGTTGGATACCTCACATTCCGTGGGCAACTCATTGGGTCCAGATGTTCCCCACAGGACGCAATTCGAGGCGAGACTATGATCCGTCCTCATAAGTGTGCCTGTTGACATGCGGTTTGATGTTGTATGTGCTGCAGGCAGAATTGCTGGACACAGTTTGATGAGGGCGGCCTAAGTGATATGGTTGGCCAAAGTATACCGGCCCTGCCTCCACCCCACAAGTGCCCGGATGGCCGGCTACCCTCCGTCTCGGTCTCGTATCAAGTCCTGAAACTTCCTCTCTGAAGTGGTATGAAGCCCTGGAAGAAATGGGTATGTGACCCTCATTCACGCACAACCACAGGTTGGATACGAGCCCAAAAGTTTTTACAGTGGCCGAGAAGTTGATTTTCTTAATTTATCACATTTGTATGACTAGTCAGTACAGGAGAGAGCATCAAACCGTGTTTACGACATCCTTGCCCACTCTAGACGAGTAGGTAGGCTCTAGATGGTATGACCTTAATTTCTCTCTCCAAGTCGGCAGAGTTAAAAGAGTCAAACCTGTGGCGTGGCGGATCCCGAGTCGGGGGGGCCTGGGGATGCGTAGGGACGCGACGCCGAGATCATCAGATAAGTGAGGCTTAGGTACATCGGAGATAGGGACAGGATCACAGAAACAAATTAAACAGATGCAGAAGCACTGACGGCCAGAATGATAACCCCCGCAGATTTGGAAACGTGTTGGGAGGGCACTTCAAGGCCGGATCTGGGGCGGCAGGATGAGGATAGGTGGGATGACGGGGCAGCAGACCGTTGCGGGGGGCCTTTTGACCGAGGGGAATTCATATAAAAGACCCAAAGGGTATGCATGCTGACGAGCTCAGGAATGTCATCAGTGAAAAGAGTAAATGTGGCCGAGAGACAACTTTGGAATTGTAGACATGATAGTTGAATTATATCGAATTGAGCCTCTGAAGGTCGTTGAAACCAGAGGCCTATATGCAGATATGTGTGTGCATGTGTGTGCAGTCATGTATACAAGTATGTGTCGGCATACGAGAGCGTGAGTGTGCGATTATTTGTGTCATTGTCATGGTTGTGGTTGAGCCTACCATTTGCAAGCTTGGTGGGGTTTGTCTGAGCGATAATTAAAGTATGATATGAAGAGGCCGTACGGCAACGGCTAAAAGTCTCGTAAGTCCTGCTGATTGACGGCGAATTAGGTCGCCCGAGTGCTGATAGATTTACTAACCTGTAGAATAGTAGCAAATGGGGGTAGAGTCAAGTGTGCCGGAGGATTAAGAGTCTGAAGGATAGCTCAGGCAAATACTCTCTCTCTCTCTCTCTCTCTCTCTCTCTCTCTCTCTCTCTCTCTTGCAAAAATGGAGACTATGAATGCAATGGTCACAGCCGACAGGAGAGTAGAGAGAGTGGGAAAAAATTTATAGGACCAACAGAAAAGCCGAAAAAGAGACAGTAACTGCATTAACCGTTTCTGTTGGCAGGAGAATCATACGTCTACACGCGCGATAACCAAGCAAATGCCGCCAACAGTCGAGGGTTTAGAGTGCAACAACAAACAGTTGCCAGCATACAGACTCACTACGGGTCCAGTCAACCGCGATTTGGCGATAGTTTTCCACAACCACACAGACGAGTGAGAGATGCTCCAAATGGCGAGAGTACCGATACCGGTCGAGAGGAGGTAAAATGCGAAAATGGTGGGAATTAGATAAGGAGACGAAGCTCAACCCACCCAAAGGTGGTGGATAAGTGTCCGAATGGAAGGTCTGAGTAGACTGGAAGTAGTTCTATAAGATGCAGGCCTTATAAAAGTCGGATGCGTCAACTGAAAGGACGAGTGCTTTCACTTTGAAAGTAGGAAAGACTGCCCAGCCAACCAAATTGCCAAATCCAACTGGCTCTTTGTATATGATAAAATGCACTTTAGTTGCATTGTTTACTACCCTTATGCCCACCTACATCTCGTCCCCTTCTACCCCTGACCAGCTTCTTATTTATTTCTCATTCTGTCTCCACTCGCTCGTCTTACTACTCTTCTTGCAGCTTTATTTTCAGCTCTACCCTTTCTTTATTCCTTCCTGCTCTGATTTCAAGTTTCTATCCTCTCCTTCCTCTCCTCCCTGTAGCACACCTTTCCTCTAACTTCCTTTGGTTAAACTTTTCTTCCTCCATCCGTCTCATCTTTTTCTCTCCATAATCCTGCTCTTCTCCTTCTCCCTCTCTTGCTTCTCAGAGTTGTCCCGCCTTCTTTCCTTAATCTTTAGCCTTATTCCCTTAGTAATAACATGCTCTTCCTTATTTTTATTAATTTATTCCATCACCTCTCTT